AATTTAGGTGTTCAGGCTGACATATAACTAACTGGCTTGCATAAGATAACGAAAAAAAAGCACAGATTTTTAGACAGGATTGTTTTTAAAAACAGAATTTTCTAAATTTTGGGACAATATTGTCTGATAAAGAGTACATTTATATACATGTTTAAGCCGGAATGATTTGACATATAAATATGACTTCCCTACGACTATAAAGCCTTTTTAGATTAAGAATTTTTTTCAAACTTTTGCTTCCATTTAAAAAAATATGCTTTGCTTGGAACAAATTTTACTCCATACTTTAAGATGTAGAAGCTTTCCAGATTTTAGAATAATAAATAAATCTTAGAGCCATGAATCGTTCCCATCTACTTCATGGTTAATTACATTAAACATATTTAAGCTCGCTGCCATCTTTTATCAGGTTACTAAGGAGCCTGCATAGACTTACAGCTGCTACAATCAGATTAACCCTGGCTGGCTCAGGGAGGGGCAGCTCCTGAGCCTGAGGGGGCTCTGGGGTGGGCTCCTCATAGTTACCCCAGGCTTCAGAGGGGGCGTTCCAATCAGAGCTGGGGTCAGCTGAGCCACCATCTGGAAAAAGAAACATTTAAATAAAATAATTATAAAAACGTCCAGCTGTGTCATGAATATGAAACCATATTAGTTTGACTGGTAAGCTAAAAAACAAAAAGGATGCATACTGAGTCCGGACCACTCGTCGTCCACTTTGGGCAGACTGAGCCAAGACAGGTCGCTCACAGGTTGAGGCTCTGCAGACACAACCAGCAGATCACAGAAGAGCAAAATATGCAATGGAAGACTGCGCCATCTAGTGGCGAGTGGAATAAAACTTACGAGGAAGTCCAAGAGACACCAGATTGAGCTCCGCTGAGTTTATGGGCACAGACCAGGACTCTGAAACACACACATTTCACAAAGCTAGTGACACAGCTGCCAGATTTCAGCAAAGACTGAAGTCATAAGCTTTGGAAAATAGAAAATTTGACAGTCTTGGCCAATTGGCAGTCAGACTTATTCATTTATTAATTTATTTTTAAACTACAGGAAGATGCAATCATTAAGCTGGAACAGTTCTTTTCGTGTCTGGACAGCAGAGACCTTTAAATCGTTGCTCCAGACATGTGGTCTTTGCTGTTTGATTCTAACAGTTTGAGTTTTTCATAACATTTATGGAGTAAATTCGTTTCAGTTTTTAACTAAATTTTTTTCCCTGTTCTTATTTTAGTTATCCGTTTTATTCCATTGAACCGTTTTATTATTATTTTTTTTTTTTATGGCTAGAAAATTGACATTGCAGCTAAAAAAAAACAAAAGATCCAAAAACCAACCCAAGAATTCAGTTTGCTATAAACGTTACTGTTCTGTGGTTCTCTACAGACGAGTATCTGAGAGTAATAATTCGCCCAGCAGAGACCCTGCAGCTTTTTGTTTCACTATCCGGGTCAACGTGGCACAGATCTTCAGCCTCACTTCCAGAGATCTTCCCTCTCAGGTTCTACTTCTGATCAAAAGTCCCAGACTGAGTTTATCCTGTGACCTTTATGCTACGTTCACACTGCAGGCCTTAATGTTTAACTCTGATTTTTTTTGGTGAAATCCGATCTTCATCTGTTGTGTAAACTGCACTCACAGAACTAAAGTGTCCCGCATGTGCAATAGAGGACACAATGGTGTCACTGATAGCGAGCGCGCTGTGTTTATGGAAATAAACATGGAGGGCAGTGCTAGAGCGAATCTTACAATCTTTCATTTCTTTTCCAACCAGAGGCAGTGGATTAAGAACTCAATATTTTCAATGAGTTCCAAAAGAAGAACTGCTCTCCACACTATCGACTACCAAGGCTGTTTATTCCCGCTTCGGCATATCAAGACCCAGAATAGTGACCTTTGTCAAGTATTAATGACGTACCAGTCATCAGCCTCAGCTTTGTACTGTTCCAATTCACAAGAAAAGCAGACCGAAACGGACAAAGTCCCTGTATGTTGTTCTCTCCCCTCCCTCTTTACCCAGCATGCATCAGAGCAGACTTGTCCATTCTTGAGATTGACAGCTGTCCCAGCATACACTGCAGCATCAGCAGCTTTCAATGGAGCGCTCACAGAGCTCAGAATATTAAGTTAAATGTTTTTTTTTCTGTTGCTGTTCAATAAAAGTACGTTTTAAGATCATTTGAAGCGAAAATATTATACTTTTAAGCGTCACTATATGGCCCATTTACTGATTTAATGTGTAATTTACAAAAAAAAAATCTGAAGTTGAGAGGACCGCGGCAACCAGCAGACCTCCAAGGCTAACGGCAGCCAGGTCTAACGTTAGCCCGTCTGCAGCAGCCCTCTCTCTGCATAGCCGTGTGTGAAGGACCGCTGACTCTAATGGCGATTTTTTTTGTTTTATTTGGCAAAATGTTTATTTGATTTTTGTTTATCTGACTTTGTTCATTATTATTCCCCTAATAAATGAAAAAAGTAAAAATGTATTATTATCTACAGACTATTAATAACAGGTAGTTAAATGCAGCTCCAGACGAGCTGAGCATGTGGTGATGTCACAGGTACGCTTCTTTTCCAATTGACCCATATTTATGCTGCGTGCTCCCGTTCTCCCAGAGTCCACACATTCCTGTGTTCTTCTCAAGAACATACTTGGCGAGAATATGAGTCTGTACTCGCGTTCTTGTGAATTGAGAAATGTCCCTATTCACCCACTGGGTTCCTTCTAAGGTAACATTTTTATTTAGACGTAAGGAGATGTATAGGAAACGTTTAGATATTTAAAAAAAAAAAAAAAAAAAAAAAAAAAAAAAAACAACAAAAAATAAATAAATAGATATAAAAAACACCAATTTTGTATTTATTGGTCCAGCAGATATTTTGAAATAAACCATCTATTTTGTGGTTTAAGAGGGATTTAAAGAAAAAACTATTTTTTCAAAATTTTTAATTGCACGTCTTAGTTTAATTGTTATTATCATCCAACAAGACATTTATACCAATGAATAGAAAGGAAACCTTTTTACCATCAACACCTGCTCTCCAGAGTGAAGCCGGCTGCCTCTGGGAGCTCCAGGAGCTCGTCTTTGGAGCCGCATTCTGTGGTGCAGCCTTGACCGCCAGATCAGTTGCAGCGGCCGCCACCTCAGGAGCCACGACGCTGTTGGCTAAGATGAAGGGGGGGGGAGCATCGCAAACAAGTAAAACAGACCACTCAAGCAACCAAACACATGATCTACGTCAAACTGTGCTCCCACTGCTATCGCTGAGGGCTGAATCAATGAGGCAAAGCAGGACATGAGTGACAGTAATTACCCTGAGAGGCGACGGCGTCCGCCTTCTCTGCCTTCACTTTCGCAGATTCTCCTGAGAAGATAAAAAAGAAAGGTTAGTGAATGCTATGAGAACCGTCCACAGGAGGCTGCTTTTAAACAGGGTAAACATCCCTCAGGGGAAGATAGAATTCCCGTTGTGCTTATATTTTTAGTGCAGCTCATTAACAACAGACCAGGGGGACATAAGAAAAAAAACAAAAAAAACACAGTATTATCCTCACCAGCTCTAAGGGGTTTGTTAAGGAAACTTAAAATCCTTCTGTAATAACAAACCTTTTTTCTTCTTTTGGTTGGCAGGGGCAGGTGGCGCTGCGGAGACCTTGGGTTGGTCGGGGGGAGCGTTCACAGGTGTCTCCCCTCCTCTAGGACTTGCTGAGCCATCGCTGGAGTTCTTATCTTTCTTGCGCTGCTCACGTTTCTCCTTGTTGCTAACCTTGGTCTCCCATGTGCCTGAAACACACACTGCTTAGTGTTAAAGGACCATTTACGACTGCTCCATTTAGGGGCAGGGGGAGCTGAATTTAAAAAAGCACGGCCAACCCAAATATTACAGAAGAAACTTTTTTTTTTTTTATAATAATTACATTCTTCTTACCTTCTTCCGGTTCTTTCCCATCTCCAGTCGCTGCCTTGCTCTCCTTTACGGGTGCTTTGGCCTTCTTTTTGGACTTCTTCGTCTGTAAATGTGCAATATTGGATAAACTGTACTGTTTGGTATAAAGTAGGGCTGCAACGATTAGTTAGCAAATGGATTAAACTGTTGCTTATTTTTTAGAATAATCTATAATAATCGGATAGCCAAATGTTCCTTTAAGTGTTTTTAAACTAAACCAGTTCTGAATAGAGCGGATTCACAGAAAAAAAATGTAGTTTTTAACTTAAATGCTAAATGTTTTATATATATA